CTCGATCTCGACGACGCCGACGCCGCCGCGCCGCCGTCCTCGCCGCCCCCGCCGCCCGTCGTCGTCGTCGTGCCCGTCTCGTCACCGTCCCCGGCCGCCGCCAGCCCGGCCGTCTCGTCGCCGTCCCTGGCCGCCGCCGCCCGTCTCGTCGCCGTCACCGGCCCCCGCCGCCCATCGTCACCGCCCGCCCGTACGCGCCCGGCCCGCTCCATACACACACACGCACACTACACACACACACACACATACACACACACACACTACACACACATACACACAGACACACACAAACACACACACACACACTACACGTACACTACACATGTACGTACACACATATACACACACACTACACACACACATATTTTTTTACTTATTTTCTGTTTTCTAATGTTTAGATGAATTAGAACTATATCTAGTTTATTTTTAGAATGTTAGAAATGTTATCATCGATGAATTAGAAATATGTTAATGTTTAGTTGAACTAGTTGAATTAATATAATAACTAGTTTATTTTTAGTAAATATAATGCTTAGTTGAACTAGTTGAATTAATATATAGAACTAGTTTATTTTTAGTAAATGCTTAGTTGAACTTGTTGAATTAATTAATATATAGAACTAGTTTATTTTTAGTAATTAAGTGCTTAGTTGAACTAGTTGAATTAATATAACTAGTTTATTTTTAGTAAATGCTTAGTTGAACTAGTTGAATTAATATATAGAACTCGTTTATTTTTAGTAAATGTTTTGTTGAACTAGTTGAATTATTATATAGAACTAGTTTATTTTTAGTAAATGCTTAGTTGAACTAATTGAATTAATATAACTAGTTTATTTTTAGTAAATGTTTAGTTGAACTAGTTGAATTAATATATAGAACTAGTTTATTTTTAGTAAATGCTTAGTTCAACTAGTTCAATTAATATAACTAGTTTATTTTTAGTAAATGTTTAGTTGAATTAATAGAAGTAGTTGAATCAATTGAATTAGTAAGTGTTTAATGTTTCGCCTAATATGAACATAGGAAATGTCGTCTGACGACGGAAAAAATTTCATTATGTGCGAATACTGTGAAGACCAGCGCGGCCAGTGCGATAGAAATTTCCTTGTTGATGGTAAGCGATTCAGCATCAAGCTGGATGAGACTTTCGAATTTGATACAGTAAGTCACAACGACAAGTCTGTTTTCGTAATTAAGCATGACTTATATATGCTTCATTTGCCTGACTTATAATTTTTAATTTTCACTATTCTACTAGCGCATCCCGTGCCATGCAAGAATTTTTGTCTTGGATAAGATAGGTTTCAAAGATATGGAAACTATGGAGGTAAAGAGAGCTTACCTGAAAACTGAGCATGATGGTTATACTTTCAACGTCAAAGTATACAATGCACACACATACACCTATTTTGAATGCAAAACTTGGCAAGCACTATACAAGGCTTATGCATTTGAGCCTGGTATGGTTATCACCTTTGATATTCGTCCGGAAGATGATATTGAAGGTAATAGAGACATATGGGTCGATGTGCAGACGCCTCCAGTTCTACCATTATGTGAGTTCTTCTCAACTTTATTTTTGTCTTTGATATTGCTTATTGAAAAATAACTGACAACTAATTTCTATTGACAGCTTATCTCCATTCAACCAAACATGTCCGACGCTTGGTAGACAGGACCTACTACTGTCTCGGAGCTGAACTAAACTGCGAGGAGATAAATCATAATGTTTCATGGCTTAAGGATCTTCATACTGTGAAGACAAATTTTCTTCCTGCAGTGAGAAATGTTAGTACTCAAAACGTGCGACCAATAGTTATGGTATTGAACTACGGTCACATCTATTTAGGAATGATGGTAAGATATTTACTATTTGTCCTCAGTGCATATTTTGCATACATAATTTTTTTGCTAAACTTTCATTGCTAAGTATATTAATTAAGTACTATACAAAGTTCTTCAACAGGGACTTCCGATAACAGTTGTGCCTCAGGGGATCGAGACTAAATGTCAGATGTTAATTGTTAGCTTACGGCCAAGATATCCTGCATTGCACATGAATGCATTCAGGATTTCTAGAAGCGATGAATGCTTAATAGTGAAAGATTGGAGAAAAATTCTTAATGATCGCAGAAAAGTACTAGGGGGCAGCAATGAGAAGCGCAGCCCACGATTAGGAGACAGGTTCATCGGCATGCTCCAGTATGATCAATCAGGAGAGCTATACATGTTCTATGCTATTTTACGGGAGATAGAGTAGCTAGCAGGAGTGATTTAGCTTGTTCTTCATGCTGCTCTTAATTAGTACTTGTCCTTTCATGTCTGTGTTCTTTGTTCTGAACTTAAGTGATTTGCTTTTGTGGTGTTATATATGAACGCTTATAATATCATGACAATCATGTTGAACTCGATCGATAATATTTTTGCTTCTGGTACAAGTGAATGTTTCTTCTTTAAGCTAGTAGTGCTGGTGGTGATTAGATAGCTAGTTAATTATTATATCATTTAATGAAAGAAACCGCAGATTAGTTTCAGCTGGATGGATCCTACCTAAGTGATCAAGTATATGCCATATCCGTATATATTATAGTTGATCAAGTATAATATGGATATGGCATATACTCTAGCTAGCTAGCTAGTAGAGATATCCAATAATGCATCCAGTCGAAACTAATCCGCGACACTTTCACCTAATGATTTAACAACTCATTATAATGTAAAACAATCACTAAATTAAATTGAAAACACAAAATAAAAAAAACACCCAAACATTTAGTACCGGTTGGTGTTACCAACCGGTACTAATGCCCTCCACGCAAACAGGCCTGGCTCGTGCCACATGGTGGCACTTTAGCGCCGGTTCGTGTCGAACCGGTACTAAAGGGGGGGGGCTTTAGTCCCCACTCTTTAGTGCCGGTTCGCCAACCGGCACTAAAGGCCGTCACGAACCGGCACTAAAGCCCGGTTCTGCACTAGTGGGAGAGCTAGTTACGGTTAGATAGCTAGATCAGTTAGCTAGGGTTTGCTAGTTGGAAAATGCCGAATATATGTGGTGGCATTGGATTATGTTGGATCGGCATCGTCCTCACACTAGAAGCCCTGGTGAGTTGGTAACCCAGGAGCGCTGGTTACGGTTAGCTAGCCAGATTGGTTAGCTAGGGTTTGCTCGTTGGGAAATGCCAAATATATTGGCGTGAAGACCTCAGGGCAGCGGTGTAGACCATGTGCCACACGCAGTATGACTCGAAGGGGCGATGCAGCGGCAGCGCGAGTGTCGATGCAGTCGAAGGGACCACGTGTCGCGAGGCTACGATCCGCAGGGGTGATGCAGTGGCGGTGGGCGAGCCGGTGCAGTCGTGGGGGAACCACGGGGTGGTGGCAGCCCGATGCTCGATCGATGGAGGGGCGCAATGTACTAGGGAGAGTCTTCACGGGACCTGCGGAGGCGCGCGCCACCGACGGGCCAGATTCGCCGCACGGCGTAGATGAGGCGGATCGTGGGCGGCAGGCCCGCGCGAGGTCGACGACGCCGCTTGGTGGAGGCGGGGGTGGCGGCGGAGTCCAAGATGAAGCTGGCTACGATGGATGGCGTCGGACGACATGCAGACAAGCGTGTCAGCCCGGGCAGCAAGGCTCGAGTGACCAAAGCAGCAGTCGCGCCCGAGCTGAGGCAGCTGGCGAGCCCAATGCATCCGGCTATCCTATATTTCCAATCCAATCATGATACTTAACATGATTAACATGATGATCCCCTATCTATGTGTGTATAAACTACTTGATCTAGGACAGAGATGATGATGAGATAGATGAGCTATGGCTCTATTCTCCCCATATGTGTGGAAACCACAACACCTTCGACGGAGACGATCTATATATGTTCTTGGTGTAGGTATTTTCATGCGAGGTTCTAGTATGCCCTGATAGGCGATAGCTACTATTTCTGCCATGTGATTCTCACAACGCCAATCTTTCCCTTGCGAGGTTCTACTTCGGCATGGTCATCGGGTCTTCCTTGGATTGGATTATATGGATCGGCATTGTCCTCGCACTAGAAGCCCGGGTGAGTTGGCAGCCTAGGAGCGACAAATTATCAAGATTGGATCTGAGCTCTCTCGTTCGGGTTCCTTGGTCCTCGTAGTGTCATGTCAGCATCGACACTGCGTACCACACCGACCAGAGTGTCATGTCAGCGTCGACACTGCGTACCACACCGACCAGAGTCCATCGAACGAACACTACCTCGGGTTATTCCTTTCTTCCAAATCTCCTCCTTATAGATGTGCATCGCAGCACCTACAGGCGGGCGAAAACGGCGTCCTGGAGGAGGCGGTACTCGGAGAGGCCGGGGATGAAACCGGTGAGGCCCTTGTAGTCGGTGAGCATGGCCCAGATGGCCTCGAGCGACGCACCGACCCGCACCCGCGCGTGCACCAGCCGCTGGTTCTTCTTCCCCGGTAGCTTCCGCACCTTCTCTCAAACCCGTACCGCTCATCCGGTCATCCCACTACAAAAAACATGTTAATCCATGATGGAATTATGATGACATTGCCAGAAACTATCATAATTTATGATGATTTATCTGGTTCGTCGCAAAATCCGTCATATATAAGCAACATGAGGATGGCACCCCAAATCATAGACCCATCATGACAGACAAAGAGAGATCGTCACCATAATCGTCATGGTTCGAACAATTAGTTCCGTTCTTATACACCATTTAGACCGTGATGGATGGATGGTGCTGACGTGGCAATCCAGCGAGAGGAAGAACTTGCGATGTGATTGGTGGAGCGAGCTAACCCACGTATCACAAATCCAGACCGTCAACTCTTGCGTGATCCAACGACAAGCAGTCAACTCCTATGTAGATCTCCGCCGGCTTCTTCCTTCCCCTTTGTCCGCCCTGACTCTCCTGATCTCGCCGTCCTCCTCTTTCAGATCCTCCCCCTCCCCATCCACGACCGCCGCCACCTCCCCATCCATGGCCATCTGCCCCTATGCATCCCGCAACCGCCGCGACGACATCCTCGTTCCCAGAGGCATGGACTTCCCTTAAGGCGAACCTAGTGCACGTGGCGCCGGTATCGTTGATGCGGGTCGGGCGGCAGTCATATCTGCCGCGGCCAGAACCGGCGTCCTCTTCCTCCCTATCCAGCTTCCTCCCATGGCTGAGAAGAGGGCTTCGTCAAGGATCCCATGACGGAGGTCAACGTGGGAGGCTGCTTCCTCCGATCCCAGATCGACCATCCGTCCATGGAGGCCATGAGAGCCACGTGGGCACACACATGGCTACGCTTCAAGGTCAACCCTCTCCCATCCTTTCTCTTCGATTTGATTTGATCTCCTCCCCTGATTTCCTCGCCATGCAGCTGCAGCTCGATAGATGCAGGGACGCCGCCATGGAACAGTCAGGGCCTCCCTTCTCTTCCAGTTTAGTCCGATCCACCACTGCCAGCCATTTCTGGAGCCCCTACTCCAAAGCGGTGGTATGGCCACGACCCTTCCTTCCCTCCTTGCAGCGTTTTAGCCCCCCCTTCCTATAGCTAACAAACTAGTTTGCTTTGACGATCCTATCATATCCTATTCATGGAGTAGCTTGGATTTGGTTTCAGTTTACTATGTACATGCAGGGATGGTTGGTTTCAGAGATGGTCTAGGCCCTAACAGCAACCCAGGGGCCGATCCAGCATAGGTATATGACAAAAAGTACTGCTTCATGCTTGAGTTCAGACTTCAGAGAATACGCGGAGTGAGTTAACAACTCAGCTTCAGTCCAGATAAACTAGTCTAAGCAAGCCAACAGTTCACCAATCCCCTCCAAAGTTCCAATTTGAAATTGCATTCATGTGTAGCTTCTGTTTGGATTTAGAGATGTATCTTTGTAAATAGAACTGTCCTTGTGTAATTGATTTCATTAATAAAAGAATAACAAATGAATTTTTTTAAAGCAAATGTAGGCTGAAACCGAAAACAGAGAGTAGATGTTAGGGTGAATTTTTTAACACCCAAAGTTGAATTCTTGGATCCGCCACTTCAACAACCCCGGGGATTCAACATGCCCCCTCGCTGGCGGTGGTGGCGGCACTCATGCCAAGCTGAGAGACGGTCGACCTGCTGTCATCAATGCTGTCACGGCCTCGACCACGGTGACCACAGCCATAGCGGCCACGGCCACGACCACGACTAATTTATTTTTCTGTTTTGGAGTGTCCCACATTTGGTGTAAATAGTCCCAAGTTTTCCTTTTCACTATGTAAAATATTACCAAGCTAATACCAGAACCACTGTCCGGACTTCTTAAAAGCATATGTGCCTATACTAAAGCATACTGTCACATTCAGCTTATTTAACCTTGGTAGTTTGCTTACTACATTTGGGCTAGGTTATTGCATCTGTATGTATGGGGAGTAGCCTTGTCAGTATGGGCTCTAATTGGTGTGTCATGTGTATGCCTCACAGCTTTAGTATACACTTGATTACATTTTATTGATGTACACATATATATGCTCCGTTTGATCTTTGAAGCCTAGCTTTCAATTTCTAAATCAAAATTATAGACATATGTTATGCTAAAAGACTTTTGTTCTGCATGCTTTTGTTCTGCACGCTATAACACAATTTGATTTCATTTAATCTTTGAAGCCTAGCTTAGTTTTGCTTACAACAGCTTCAGTATAGACTTGAATAGATATTTTTCCGGTTACTTTTTTATGCCTGCTTTAAGTATCATGTTTCTTCTTAAATTGACTCAAATTATGATATTACGTACAGAAGGGCACAATGATGAATTCAACGCACATCAGGTGATTATGTCATATGCTTGCGAACTTGTCAGATTTGATTTGCTTACTTGCATTGCTAAAAGTGCACTTCTATTTGCAGATGCCTAAGAAAAGGACTGGCAAATAAAATAGGAATCCAAACTTGCAAAATTCTCTTTTACAAACCGCTAGTACTACTGGGACTCTAGGTACAAGGCACAATGTAATTGCTCCAAATACACTCATACAAGTTGCAACCATGAATTCTCGAATGTTTCTAGCAATGGTAAGTCACAAGCTTGGTTTGTCTTCATGTTGGCCTTTATTTGATACGTAAATGGCTTTCATAATGTGCAATCATCTACTTGCTTGCACTATTGTACTTTTTTGTTGCTGAAGCACATACAGTAGGGAAGCCAGAAATAGAACAGTTTTCTCACCATTAGAAATTGTGAACTTGCGTCAGCATGTAGTTGTTTCGGAGAAATTTAGTTTGATTGATTTAGGTAATTATTCTTGTGTTTGAACTACAAAATCTTTTGTAAAATTATCCAATTCTTTTTGCATAGCACCTAAGTGTTGATGGAGTAGTACAACAGGCACAAGAATTTTCTTGCTAGTTGTTGTGGTCATGACAATTTGTTAGGAAGATACCCATGCATGCACGAATATAGTAATTATACAATTGTCATGATAGTGGTTATATCTTTCTGCTAATTAGTCGTTGTGTTGTTTCTTTATTTTCCTGACTAATTATTTTCTATTTTCAATTAACTTGAGCTAAATAAATTTCTGATTTCTTCATAGCAGGATCCAAAGATTTAGCTGGAATGGACTCTAGACCACGAACAATTTAAACTTTGCTCTTAATTAGGATGGCACATTCAGTATGTTGAATGCATGCTAAATTATATTACAGTTTATTGTGATGGATATTTGCTATGCAAACTTTGATGTCTGATGAATCTATATCATATATGCATTATTTGAATTTTGTAATTGAATGCCTATATTTTTTTTTCCGGTTACAGTAGGCTATTACCACAAACTACTTTTGGTTGCAACATGTTGGCACCACAAAAATTAGCGTTGCGTCAAATCTTAGTCGCCACGCTGACCTATTTTGTAGCACTAGGCTGTGGTGACGAAACACTTCATATAGTCGCAATAACTTATAACCACAAAAACTCAGTCCATTGAGATAACTACTTGTCGCCATGGAATTCAGTTTTGCTGAAATAGGCCTTTCGCCATGAAACATTCATATTGTCGCAACAACCTCTCACCACAAACAGTCTGCCCGTTGTGATAACTATTTATCACCACCAAAAGGAGTATGTTGCAATTTTAGTATTACCACGTCTGAAAGAGTCGTTGCCATACTTTACTGCCACAAACATAGGGTTGGTGGCAAAAGGACTATACCCACAAAAACAAGAGTTATTGCCATAGGGTATTGCCACAATTGAGTATTGCCATGGAAGAGCACGTGCCACGAAAAAGAGTTGTTGGTATAGGTTATTGCCACAAATGCCTATCGCCACAAACAGCTAAATTGCAATGGTTCGCTACGTGTTGCATTATGCTATTGCCACAAACAAAATTGTGGCATCAAGTGCACGATGCCACGAGAAAAAATGTGGCAACTTGCAACATGGTTGTTGCAATAGCACGCTTTCTAGTCACATTTATGTTTTTCTGGCAATAACCTATTACCATGCGTCCTGTCGCAACGGGTGCCAACGAACACCATGTCGTGGCAATAGGTACCTGTTGCGACAATTGGGTACTTATTGCAACAAATGCTTTTATTGCAACAGACTCGGATCCTTGTAGTGCTTCTATGGTTTAGCCTCTACGATCTCGTGGTAGATCTACTCTTGTACTACCCATATCTTCAATATTAATCAAGCAGGAAGTAGGGTTTTACCTCCATCGAGAGGGCCCGAACCTGGGTAAACATTGTGTCCCTTGCTTCCTGTTACCATCAGCCTAGACGCACAGATCGGGACCCCCTACCCGAGATCCGCCGATTTTGACACCGAGAAGCACCGCATTGCATGACATATAGAACATATACACTAGAGCTACAGATTGCATGGTAAAAGTAGATATCACAATTCACTAGAATTTGCTAAGGAAAGGCAGGAGCAGCACATGCAATGGGTAAATCAAGCATGCTTAACCGGCGTAGCTAGAAAACTGAACATGGGTCCTTATAGTGAGCTAATAAGACAAGCTACTCCTCATCGTCGGAGATATTGATGATGATTGGCTCCTTGGACATGTAAGAGGGCGAGGCCTCCACATCGTGGGTGCCCTCATCATAGTGGTGAGTTGCCTGAGCCGCTTCGGGCACCAACCTGTTGGCTCTCGAGTTGAGGTAAGCACGTGCACGCTGACAGAACACCTTGTAGTCTTTGTCAAAGGCACCGAGGGTGGCCTCGAGAAAATGCCACGAACTATCATTTAAAGCAGACAAACGGGTCGTGGTATCGGCCCGTGAGGCATCAAAGGAGGCCTTGACGGCAAGGTTCTCCTCCAAGATCACCATACTTCTTTATCGAGCATGTTACAGTGGTCATCCACGTCATTGCATAATTTGGGTACAAAAAGGAGACTACAACACACCCATACTTCTTTATCGAGCAAGTACAACAGTTAAACAAAGCTAGCTGACCTAAACTTCACTCTAACAAATGAAAGACCGGTGCTCTTAATTAAACAAAACAAAGAGTACTACTACGGCTAGTGCTCGTCGATCTCCACCACCTCCTCCATGTCCAGCTCGTGCTCAACGGTCTCCTAGGGAAGGGGCTCTATGGCATCGATCGAACCATACTCGGCAAGCATCTCGCCCTCTGCGTCGACCATCTCTTTGGAAAAGGCTGTTGGGAAACCTAACATGCAATTTCAAAAAAATTCCTACGCTCATGCAAGATCTATCTGGGATATGCATAGCAACAAGAAGGGGAGAGTGTGTCCACGTACCCTTGTAGACCGAAAGCGGAAGCGTTAACTCAATGCAGATGATGCAGTCGAACGTCTTCTCGAATCAACCGACCGAGTACCAAACGTATGGCACCTCCGAGTTCTGCACACGTTTAGCTCGATGGCGTCCCTCGAACTCTTGATCTAGTAGAGGTACGAAGGAGTCGATGAGTTCCGTCAGCACGATGGCGTGATGATGGTGTTGGTGATGTGATCCGCGCAGGGCTTCACCTAAGCACTATGACAATATGACCGGAGGAGTAAACGGTGGAGGGGGGCACCGCACACGGCTACACAATTGATGTGCTTTGGGGTGCCCCTGCCCTCGTATATAAAGGAGGAGGGGAGGAGGCCGGCCACAAGGGGCGTGCCAAGGAGGGGGGAGTCCTACTAGGACTCCCAGTCCTAGTAGGATTCGCCCCCTCTTTTTCCTTCTCATGGAGGGGGAAAAGGTGGAAGGGAGAGGGAAGAGGAGAAGGAAAGGGGGGGCGCCTCCTGAGGGAGTCATGAACTATGGGGTCCTCGGGGAGCCAACCTATGTGACATGTGTCGGACTGATGGGCCGTGAAGATATGAGATAGAAGGTATTCTCCCGTGTCCGGATGGGACTCTCCTTTGCGTGGATGGGAAG